TTTTTTTTTCAAAAACCAATTACTTTTGTGAGAGAACGCTTCCTCGTGCACATTTTCTAATCGTCCAAGCATAACAAACCCCCAAAAGACCCCAAGATTTGCCACTTTAACTGCAGAGGATTTCCGTCCTATTCTAAGTTCCTAATTAGAGTAGTTAACTGAGACCCTTAAAATCCAATGTGAAGTACAGATAAAACGTTCAAATGATGCTCTGATGCGAGTTAGACCGTAAGTAAACTTATATAGGCTAAGTTTACCAAAACGATGCTACAGAAGTCCTAAATTTAGCTTTCCAATGTTTGAAAAATAGAGTCATTTACCCTACAGAAGTACTTAAAACATGGTTTAAAATCTGCTTTGGCAAATTCTTTTAAATACAGCTTTCAAGTACTATAATATAAAGCAGTATCCTAATTTGAACACCTTTTGCAGAAGCCGATGAGTTTGAAATGAGCACTTTTTGGTGAATGAAGACACCGCAGATTACAGAAATTAGTAATTATATACTCTACTGTTTCCACACGTTTATTCAAAATCTTTATAGACAATGTTTTAATTTTTTTTTCTACTATTTTCAGAGAACTGTCAAAAAAGAATACTTCTGAAACTAATTATACCCGCATATATGCCGCTCTTGTGAAAAAATTCATCATTTCAGGCTTTCAAGTAGCTAAAATATGATTATTCCAGTCTAAAAATACAGAAAATATACAGATACGACAAAGGAAGACTGAAAGAAAGTGTTGAAACAAGTCGCAATTACTAATTGCGTTTTTGAAACTTAATTTTTAAAGTCCCCTGCTTTTTAATCCCCTGCTTGATCCTCTTAAAGCCATCGACGACTACCAAACTTCTTCCAATCAACTAAACTATGTTAGAATGTTGTAGCCCTCTCGCGGATCTTGAACACACAGAAAATACCTTTCAGAATGCAGCATCAGTTACAACTTTAAGACAACTGGGTCTAAAGTCACTTAGTTACATGCACGCATTATTTTTCAAAATATATCTCTCTTCTTCTTAACTGCAGTGTTTAACAGTCTTTAATACACCCTTG